CCCCCCCCCCCCGGAACAGCCCTGTACCCCCCCTGGTCCTCTTCAGTGGTCCAGGAAGCTGAAGATGCTCCTCTGGTTGGCTGAGCTCTGAGCAGCAGCTCCTCTGCACGGCCGCTTTGCTGCTGGGCAGCTGGACTCTGGAGCCCTCCTCTTCATCACCTGAGGAGGAGGAGGAGGAGGGGTCAGGGAGGAAATGGGGGCGAACGCGATAAGGGTCAGGGAGAAGAAGACGAGAGGATGGAGCAAAGGGAGGAGAAGAGGGGGGTGAGGGGAGGCGGACAGGGAGGAGGGCAGGGAGGAGGAAATGGGAGGAGCAGAGGGGGGATCAGGGCCCAGCCTGGACTCTGGCTCCGTCTGCTGCTGATTAGCCAGAAAGACACCAGGACCCGGGCCTCTGGAACCAGGACCCGGGCCTCTGGAATCCAGGACTCGGCCTCTGGAACCAGGACTCGGGCCTCTGGAACCAGGACTCGGGCCTCTGGAACCAGGACTCGGCCACTCGGCCTCTGGGCTCAGTCCCCCTCGCTGCCCTCAGGGTGTTTGGTTCTGGTCCCGGTCGGGTTCCAGGGATGCCTGATCCCGGTCTCACCTGAGCCCCCTTTGCTGCTCCGGGCTTCTCGGGGGACAGCGTCTGGAACAGGAAGCCTCTGGAGCTCCGGGGCGCCAGGGGGTTCCCCTCAGAGAGGGAGGCCAGCTTCTGCAGCACGGCGGCGGGCTGGCTGAGCAGAGAGCCCCTCCTCACCTGGAGGGAGGGAGGCGGGTCAGAGGGGGGGCCAGGGGCCGGAGGGCCAGACCCCCAACAGGGGCCAGAGGCCGCTTCGGTCCTCAGACCAGAACCAGGCTCACCTGCAGGGGCTGCGAGGACCTCTGGAAAGGGTTCAGCGAGCTCTTCTTCTTCTGTGGTTCCTGCAGTGCGGCGGGAGCCTCTGCTGCAGACACAGAGCGGTCAGTCAGACCAGAACCAGAACCAGAACCAGACCAGTACCAGAACCAGCTGCTGTCTGCATCTCAAAGTTTGTCTTTGCTCCAGTGTGAAAAAGGAACCCATCATCCCCAGAACTGGTCCCCATTAAAAAAAACCCAGAAGTGGTCCCCATACAGGACCTCCCGCAGAACCGGTCCCCATACATGACCCCCAGAAGTGGTCCCTATACAGGACCTCCCTCAGAACCGGTCCCCATACATGATCCCCAGGACCCCTGCCCCCCCACTGACCTCTCCTCTGCAGCGTCCTGGCCGTCAGCTTCTTGGCCAGCTTCATGAAGCGGCTGTCGTCCTCTCCCCCCGGCTCGTCGTCTGCATCCAGGTCCTCCCCTTTCTGGGCCTTCTGCTGGGCCTGAGGAGCAGAAACCGGACTCAGGACATGGACCCAATGGGGGATGGGGTGGACCGGGTCTCCAGCCGGGGAAGCAGACCTGCTCCCGCAGCCACTGCTCCCTCTCCAGCCTGGCCTTCCTCCTCTCGACCTCAGCGACGTCCACGTCCTCCTCCTCTCCCTCCCCCTCCTCCTCCTCGCCACCAGTTCTGTCCACGTCAAACCCGTCGTCTGGGAAACAGGACCAGAACCAGATCATTATTTACAGCTGAGACGGAGAATAGAACCAGACTTTACAGCAGGGGTCCCATCCATCCCCTCCTCCACCAGGGGGCCTATTCCTCCTCCACCAAGGGGCCTACACCTCCACCACCAAGGGGCCCACACCTCCTCCACCAAGGGGCCTATTCCTCCACCACCAGGGGGCCTATACCTCCTCCACCAAGGGGCCTATAACTCCTACACCCGGGGGCCTATTCCTCCCCCACCAAGGGACCCCATCTGTCCCCTCCTCCACCAGGGGACCCATTCCTCCTTCACCAGGGGGCCTATTCCTCCTCCAACAGAGGGCCTATTCCTCCTCCACCAGGGGGCCCCGTTCTTCCTCCACTAAGGGGCCCATTCCTCCTCAATCAAGGGGCCCCATCCCCCCCTTCCTCCAACAGGGGCCCCACCCGCCCCCTCCTCCCCCTCCTCCCCAGCTCACCGATGTTCCTCCAGCGGAACCGGCGGGCCCGGCCCGGCCCGTCTGAGTGCAGGTCCCCGTCTGCCAGGTAGCGCTCCTGGTAAAGCCGCAGCCGCCGCTTGTCCTCGTCCAGGACCTGCTTCCTGTGAGGGGACAGAGCCTGGTCAGCGGGCCGCTCCCCGGACAGAACCGGACCAGCAGAACCAGGCCCAAAGGGCCAGCAGAACCGGGCACACTCACATGTGGATCTTGTTGACCTGGTCCTGCAGCTCCTCGTCGGAGGGCAGCTCCTCCAGCAGCTCCTCCTCCTCGTACTCGCTGCCCCCGTCGGCGTCCTCGTCGTCGCTGCCCACGTCGCTGCCCGACAGCTCGGCCTCCGAGTCCACATAGTCCCTCAGAGCCCTGAAACAGCAGCAAGGCCTGAAACAGCAGCAGGGGCCCCAGAGGCCCCCAGAGGGGCCGAAGCCCTCAGAGCTTCCAGCTGCTTTGGGGGGAACCTGCTTTAGGAACTAAGCTCACATCTTCTTCCTCCTGCCCTTCAGCCGCTGGGGGGCAAACACAGCCTGCATCTCCTCCTCCTCCACATCAGTGTTGGTCTCGCTGGCCTCCTGCTCCTCCCCTTCCTCCTCCTCCTCCTCCTCCTCCTCCTAACACAGGGGACACTAATCAGCTCATCTTGGGGAAGCTTTGCCCCCAAAGCTGAGGCTGCTCGTACCTTCTCGCTCTCCACATCTGACAGAAGGTGGAACTCGCAGTCCTCCTCTTCCTCCTCCTCCTGCTGCTGCTGCTCCTCCTCTTGTTGCCGCTCCTCGGGCCTCCTCCTGTCCAGAGGAAGCAGCTCTGCTGGAGGAGACTCTGGCCGGAGTGGTTCTGGAGCAGCTCGGTGAGCAGAACCTGAAGCAGAGCAGAGAGAGTGAGGACCCAGAGGCTGTTGGGTGGGACAGGGCTGATCCATCGTGGGGGGGGGGACACATAGACACACACTCATACTCCGCATTGAGCAGGTTGAAGCCATCTTGGATATGGCTAATCTGCCCGTAAACTTATAAAAGGAAACGGACTGAACTCCATAAAGCGCCTTTCTACAACGAGCTTTAAGTCAATGCTTCATATTCACCCATTGACACACACACTAATATATCTGGTAAACAAAAAAAACATATGTAACTTTAAAGTAATGATTGTAAATGTCTACTCCTGATGTTTAGGATATAAGGAAGCACCAAACCAGCATCTGTAGTTTTGATGCTGAGAGTTTTCAGCTACTAATGCGTGTAACACTGTTACTGTAATATAAATATTGAAATTTAACATGTAATCTGTGTCCATAATAACCAGATCCTGAAAAGTAGATGTGACCTGAGAGTTTTCTGAATGAAGAGCACAAACATTTACATCTTATATTTTGATAAACTACCCCGGCATACATCACAGGACAGCCTACAAAAAACCTTGTGTTTTATACCAGTTCGATGTCTGATTCTCCCCTTTTGCCACATCCAAGATGGCGGCGACGTTGACATATGAGTCAACACTCAATGTGGGGTCTGTATATTTATGTCTGTAGGGGGACCTACCTGGGCTGGGGAGCTGCTCCTTCTCACGTCCCCTCTCGGGCTGCTGCTCCTCGGCCGGCGTTGGGGGAAACGCCCCCGAGCAGAGCCCCAGCAGCTCGCTGTCCTGCGTGGCCCCGCCCCCTCCGCTCGCCGCCCCAAAGGCGCCCGAGCATAGCCCCAGCAGGTCGGCCATGTTGGCGTCCATGGCGTTCTCGTCCAGGCTGCCCAGCACCAGCTGCCTCTGGGGGGCCCGCGGGCCCACGTTCAGGAAGCCGTCGGCGTCCAGCAGCTGCGAGTGGGCGTCGTCCTCCAGGGAGAAGCCACAGGCCCCGCCCCCCAATGAGGAGCCACAGGCCCCACCCCCCAATGAGGAGCCACAGGCCCCGCCTCCCAGGGGCCCCGAGTCAGCGCCGGGGGATGGGGGGGCGTACAGGTCCTGGGAGTCCTCCACAGGGAGGCAGAGGGACTCTGAGAGCTTCCCAGAACTCTGAGAGGGGAGGACAGGCTGGTGAGACCAGGACCAGAACCAGACCAGAACCGGCCACTGGACCAGAACGGACCAATGGACCAGAGGACCAGGACCGGATCAAACCAGCCACTGGACCGGGCCACAGGTCCAGCCTGGACCAGAACTGGACCAGAACCAGCCACAGGACCAGGACCGGCCTTGGTCACAGATACAGAACCGGCCTCGAGTCCGGCCGTCTCACCTTGGAGGCGGAGCCCAGCAGACTGGGCCTGAAGAAGGCGGGTGATGGCGAGCGGAGGGCGGCGGCGGGGAGGCCTCGCCCCCGCTGGCTGCTGATTGGCTGGTAGGAGGTCAGCATGGAGGCGGCCAGCTCGAAGCTGCTGTTGTGGCTGTTGTCCTTCAGCGAGTCGTCCTCCTCTGGGGGCGGAGACGGGCCGGTTCCGAAGGCCTGGACCGGGTCCGCGGCGCCGGGCCTCCGCACGCCATCACTGAGGGCAAAGACAAAGTCAGAGGGGTCTGACCCGGTCCAGACAGCCAACCAGGTCCAGGTCCAGGAGCAGCAGACTGACCCGGTCCGTGAGCAGGAGCTTCCTGGGAACAGCAGCAGCGTGCCGTCCCGGTTCTGGAGGTCCAGGTTCTGAGCCCCTCGCTCCTCCTCCTCTTCCTCCTCACCCCCATCTCCTCCCAGGAGCTCGTCCACGCCCTGCGAGCAGGAGGCGAGTGGTTCATCACAGAGACAACTCCTCTGACTACTCCCTCCTCCTCCTCCTTCCTCCTCTTACCTCCTCCTCCCCTGACTCATCAGTCATGTCCTCTTCCTCCTCCTCCTCCTCCTCCTGCTCCTCGTTGTCCAGGCGCCGTAGCTCCTCCCTCCGTTGGCGTTCCTCCCTGCGGCGCTGCATCATGGCGAGCTGCAGCCGCTGCTTCAGAGTCAGCAGCTTCTCTCCTGCACACAGACGGAGACTCAGCCCGGGACCAGAACCAGAACCAAAACCGGGTCCAGAACCGGGCCTACACTGACCTGGCCTTGTGGGCGGCTCCTCGCTGGCCTCCTTCAGGGTGACGCTGACGGCCTCGGCCACCAGCTGGTCAGGGCCCCCCCCCCCGCCGGGGGCGCCGACTTTGCGGACGATGTTGAGCTGCAGGGTGCGCTCCCCCTGGGGGGGGGCGGGCGGCTGGACGTGCCTCAGGTAGCGCTCCTTCAGGGCCTCCACACCTGGGGGGGGTCAGAGAGGGTGGGTTAGGGTTGTTCCCATAGCTTCTCTTTCAGATCCAGAGCGGCGCCCTGTGTGACATCATCACTGACCGGGGTGGCAGCCGACAGGGTCCAGCTCCACGAAGGCCCCCTGGTCTGGGCACAGCCGGGCCACCGGGGGGGGGTCCAGGCCCAGCTCCCTCAGCCGGGTCAGCCTGTCCCTCTTGGGCTTGGCAGGGGCCGGCTCCTGGATCCCAGAGTCCGGGGCAGCCTGGTTCTGCTCTGGGGGGCCAGCGGGGGCCGCCCCCCCAGCAGGGAACGCCTCCTGCTGGGTCTCAGAGAGGAACAGCAGCGGGCCCGGTTCCTGGTCCGGTTCTGGGCCCTCTGTGGGCCGGGTGGGGCTCTTCTGGGGGGACGAGGCGGCAGCCGGTCCGGGGGGGGGCAGGACCTGCGCGGCCGGCTCTCTGGGGGGGGGGGCCACAGGCTGGGGGGGCGTCTCAAGCATCATTTCCGAGTACTTTACGGACCGGGAGGAGGATTGGCTTCAGTTAGGGGAAGCCTGGGGGGTCCAGGGGGGGTCATTTCTGGACCCCCCAGGACCGAGCCGGGTCCCTGAGCCCACACTTACTTGAGCAGCGCCATGGCGCCCCCCCCCGGCCGGATCCTCCTCTTGTAGAACTGGTCCACGGTCTTGGGCTCGGGGACGTGGTACGGCAGCCCCAGAGAAGACTCTGTGGGGAGAGCAGAGGGTTAGGGGGGGCAGGTCTGGGTTCTGGGTTCTGGGGGCAGACTAACTGGACTAACTAGGGGGGGCATACTAACTGGCCTCTGACCTCTCAGCAGCCTCTGGGACTCGCTGTGCAGCTGCTTCATGGCCTCCCTGCTGGCCCGGGCCGCCCGGCGCTCCTGCAGACACACAGAGTTCTGAGGGTCGGTTCTGAGGTTCTATGGGTCGGTTCTGAGTCGGTTCTGTTTCCAGCTGGCGCCCCTTACCACTCGCCGAGGCTTCTCCTCCTCCTCCTGCTCCTCCTCCTCCTCCTCCAGGCCAGGACTCTGCAGCCACATGCAAACCAGGTCAGAACTCGCTCCCCCTCTGAGCAGAACCAGCAGAACCCTCCCCTCAGTACCTTCCGTCTGTTCAGCTTCTGCTTCACAGCAGCCCGGATGGCGTCCAGAGACTCCTCCTCTTCCTCCTCCTCCTGCTCTTCATCCTCCTCCTGCTGCTCCTCCTCCTCGGCGCCTTCAACAGGGCAGCCGCTGTCCTTCTGAGGAGGCTCCTGAGGACACCCGGAGAGCTCGGTGAGGTTCTGGGGGCCCGTTTGGGCCAGCCGGCGCCGGCTAACAGAACTTACCGGCTCTCCCCCGCTAAGTCGCTGCTTGTTCTTCAGCCTCCGCGGCGCTTTGCTCCTCGCCGCCTCCTGCCGGCGCCTCCCTCTCTTCCTCTGCTCCTTCGCCTTCACTCCCCTCTTCCCCTCCTGCTCGCCATCAGAGGGGGCGGGGCTTGTCCCCCTGCCGCTGGAGGGGGCGGGGCTTGTCCTCCTGTTGGTCTCCTCCTCCTCGCTGTCGCTGTCTCTGATGGCGTTCCGGCGAGGCCTCCTAATGGCGGCAATGTCTTCGTCGCCATCAGAATCTGAGAAACAAGAAAATGAAAAATAAATCTAAATACATAAACAATAAAATCACAGAGATGTTTTGACAAACGGATCAGAACCGAAGTACAAGATGATTTTCTTAAGCTGATAAGAGCCGACCAAAGTCCCGGTCCACAGTCCGGGCCCTGAGGTCTGGTCTACAGTAGTCCTAGAGTAGTAATCCAGTAATCTAGAGTAGTCCTAGTCCAGAGTAGTCGTGGTCTACAGTCCCGGTCCAGAATCGTGACTAGCCTCTTTTCCTCAAAGGAAACCATAACCGCCTGGCTTACCTGAAGCACTGCCCCCGCTGACCACCTCCGGGACCAGGTCCTCTGCTGGGGCGCTCCCCCCTTCCAGGTGGGCCTCGGCCTGGCTCGGCAGAACCTGGAACAGGGCAGAAAGTGGCTGTTTGGGGGGCTGAACCTTGACTCAGAGCCGAACCGGTCCAGGCTGCTCTGTTCTGACCCGGTCCAGGTAGTTCCAGCCTCAGCCTGGACTGGGTCAGAAACCAGGATTTGTTAAAGGAGAGCCTGGATGATGCTGGAAAAGTCTAGTTCAGGCAGCGGGAGGTGAAGTTTTCTAGAAGACATTTGGCCTCTGAGCCAGAAACTTCTTCAGCTCTAACTGATGGTGGAGCTCTGAGTTAATATACTGTAGGAGGAACTAAAGAATTAGGGGAAAACCAAAGGTGGCTCTGGTCCCTCCTGTTTGGGGCCATGGAGGTCACCTGGGGGGGCTAGTGGTCAATCTTACTCCACTTAGATTACGGGAAACCAGGTTTAAACCAACGCTCAGCCTGGTCAGACCCCATAGAGATGCTGCCAAACATGGTTTCTGGGACTTTTATTCCCTTTTCCAATTGTTATCTGATTGCTTTTTGGACCATGGACCAAGTCAAACCGTGTCCAGAGAAAGTCATTGTGAGTCCAGCTGTGGGCAGATCGACCCAGAGAGTAAAGTCTGAAGGGGCTCTTTTAGTGGGGCTGGTGGCGCCCAGCAGCCACCGAACAATGGCTGCCTCCCCGCACGAGCAGCTGGCTAAAACCTCCTTTAAACCCCCCAAAACCTCCACATGCTCCCGGTTAGCGGCCCCCACGACCCCAGGCCTGTTTACAGCCAAGGTTTAACCGGTCAGAGCTCCACACCGATGTGGGAATCGCCTTTCCGGGGCCGTGGGCTACGCTAGGCGGGAGGCTAAGCGGCTAACGCTAACAAAAACACCCCCCTGACAGCATTTGGACTGGATTCATGTCCAGTTAGAGACCCGGAGGACGGTTAACTTTGGTCTCGCACGAACTGCTCACCTGGACCAGGTTCATCTCGGTCCGCCAACCGAACCCACTCAGTCTCCGAGCAGCTGAAACTCCGTGTCCGCTTCTTTTCAGCTAAATAACGTGCATTTAGCTCCGACCAACCGCTGTTTCAGGCTAAATAATCCGCATTTAGTTTTGGTCCACCGCTGTTTGAAGCTAAATAATGCGCATTTAGCTTCGGCCCGCCGCTGTTTGACCTAAATAATCCTCATTCAGCCCGGTCTTTCGTGGCTCTCCTCCCGCCTGATCGCGCACAGAACAGAAATTTTGAGCTTTCGCGCGCCGTGACAGCTGGCCCGCAGATTTCCATCCCGGACGTGTCAATCCGCCACTTCCTGCTCTGCCATTGGTCCGTTCTGAGCTTCTGTGTCCGCCTAATCTGACGTCACCTCTTAGGTTAACCCGATTCCTCCGCCTGGACGGCGTGGGCGGGCGGGAACAAGCGTTTGCTGTCAATAACAAAGAGAAGGTGACTGATTATTGTGGTTGGAACGACTCAGACGAAGAAGAAAACGAAGAAGAAATGGCCATAAAAACTGAAGTCGATCCTATCAATGTTTATAATCTCTATACGGTGATTGATATTTTAAAGTGTGGATAATTTATTTGGATCAGATACTAGTCAAATAAAAAAAGACATGTCAATTACTTTACTTTTTTATTTGAATGTTACAGAGAAAAACTCTCAACTCGGTTTTCTGTTGAGGTTAAATATATATAAATACACCCACTGAGAGAAAAACATGTGTTTTGGTTAGCAGGAAATGTGTTCCTGATCAGAGGAAAGGTGTCCAAGGGGCACTGAGAGGAACAATGAGGCCAACATGTGGGAGCACAAGCAGGGAGAACCGACAAAGAAACACCAGAGGATGATGCATATGAAGTCATACTGGTTGGAAAGGTCTACCTGAGAATAACGTGGCTACAAATAAATATTAAAATGTACTCTGTTGATCCCAGAGTGCAGACATACGGAAAACACACAGTGACAAGCTCAACATAAACCATCAAATATTAAGTAGACAAGTTAAATCTGAAGGTCTGTAATGATCAAGTCTTATAAATCCTGCACATAAGTGGAAAATCTGCAAATGAGAGACAGGCCAGTGATTCAGACCAGTGCTGGTAACAATCAGGGAGTTATTGTACAGGCTGGTGGCATCTGTCTGTTTGACAGCACAGATATGGGGGTGCAGATGGGGGGGGGTCTGGATCCTCAGTGTCCTCCCCTCCACCACAGTCTCAAAGGGACCAATCACAGAGCCAGACCCCCCCTGATGATCCAAAAGGCTTTACTGCCCCTTGAGAGGCTTCATGATTTGAGTACATATTTTCAGACTGAAGCTTTTTAATTGAGCTGAAGCTGTTAATTGTTAATAAACATTTTTGTCGTTATCATGACAAACCTGAAACATTTTTCACTTATTTTATTCTGATTTTGAACACATTTTCATTGTTTATGTGTATTATCTTTCAGCTTCTGGGCTCAGCTGCGCAACATTTGGCCGTTTTAAAACCTTTCTAATGTCTGTTGGTTCTTTCCAGACCAAAATAAGAAACGGGAATCATAAAATAAGGCTGTTTTGACGGAGACCTGTGGCTCTCCTGCAGAGCGCTTCAGTTGAATTTTCAAGTGCGCTACAGCAAATTACGCATGCGCACGGCAGGCTCCGCTGCTGAAAGTGGCGCATGCGCACATCCAAATCCCCAGAAACGGCAGCGGCAGCTCGGCTCAGTCGGACCAGGCGGCAGCCATCAGCTTTCTTAACTCCGTTTTCTTAAATTAGCCCCTTTAAGCTTCGCGATACCGCCCCCAATCTCAGCGTCGGTACGGAGCCGCCAGGCCGGGACAGAGACGGAGAGAGAGGCCTCGGCCATGGAAGCGCTCGGACCCGGTAAGGAGGAGCAGACCGTGGGGCAGCGCGAGGCTGCGCGAGCCCTGTGTGGGGCGCGTGAGCGCCAACGCGCCGCTTCACTGGGGGCCGCGGCTGTGCGCGAGGCCTCCACCCCGGACGGGAAAACAGCGCGAGGCCCTGCCCGAGCGCCCGTGCGTGTGGCGGAGCGCGACTGGGGGGTGGGTGCGCGTGTGCCGTGGGTCCGTGCTCCTGTCCGCGCGGTTGTTTTTCACGCTGGGCACGCGCCGCCCGTCGTGTCGAAGCTGGCATTGTGCGCGGGGGCATTTAACTGGGACCTTCCTCCTTCCTGCCTTCCGTGTCGTGCCGTGTTTACGCTCGTGCTCGCTCGCGCGCGGGGTCCTTGGCTCCTCATCCCCACGCACGACACGCAGCGTCGTCGAAACCCGACAAAACGCCGTGCGTTGCTGTGCACGCGCCGCCAGGAGCAGCCCGACGGGGGGAAAAACAAAATGAGAGCCGTCAGCTCGCAGGTCTGCGGAGCGTGGCGCGCGTCGCGAGGCTCGCTGTGTGCGGGTGTGCGTGGAGCTGTCACGGGGGCGCACGCACGCGCGCGCGACGGCGAAATGATCGACCGGACCTGCAGCTCCATCATATGGATCCTGTATGATAACAAAGGCACGCGCGGTGCGGAGCAGCAGCACGCACACGATGCAGGGCGTCCTTCCGCCCAACCTGGGGACGGTTTCCGCGTGCACACACGCACGCGCCGCAGTTAAATCCCCACACTGGGGGGGGGCGGGGCTCCTGTTGGTGTGATTTGAGGTGGAATGTGGGGTCCCAGCCCCCCACAGGTGAGCTTCCTTTTGTGTTTTAGCTAACAAAAGCTCACCTGTGGCATCTGTTTGTGACACCTGCCTGCAGTTGGGGGGGGCGTTCAC